TACTGTACTTTTAGTTTTATTTCTGTAAACCAATGGAGCGAGGAGGTGCAGGAATCATATAAATACTCCGTGCCTCCGGGATGACAGATATAGCACAGAAAGAAGCGGTTCCAGGGAGAAAAACGGGAAAAACAAAAGCAACAACAGCAGGGTATCCCTGAGCAGATGACCAAAGAAGGTAACAGAAGGAAGGAGATCAGAGCAGAAAGTAATTGTTCAAATTCACCGAAAAAAATAAAGGAAAGTAGCCGGAAATGTTTATGAAGTCAGAAAACATGAGAAGCAAAATGTTCTCAGAGGGGTTTAAAAAATGTGGACGTGTGAGAGAGAACAGAACTGTTTATGTGAGAGCGTGACTTCTTCAAATCGAAGCTAAGCAGGGCTTACAGAGTAATGCTAAAAGCCTCAACAATACAAATAATAGCAAAGGATAAAGGAAAAAAGGGCAAACATTTTTGTCAGGAAAGCTTTTAGTGTCAGAGACTCAGCAAAGAAACAAACGTTAGAGATAAACTTCATGTAGGCAATGCTTGGTAAGCCATTACTGTCATTATTAGGAGGCGTGAATATACTGATATACTGAAATATTGCACTTTTTTGTGTATCAACGTTATACCGAGAACTGACATGCAAACCTTTAATGTAATTCTTTTGTAGGGTGTAAATTCACACTGACTGCTAGGTGGCAGCAGTTATCACCACCTTCATACTGACGGAACAACAAGATCTCTTGATAAATCTGAGCTGTGATTCCCAATGGAAATCATTTTTAAAAACTGTAAAAATCATCTAACTTTTAAAATCACAGCATATCATATCACCTCCCATTTGTTATTTATGATGCATCGCCAGATTCTTGTTAACATGCCCCTAGTCAGTACTTAGGTCAAGTGTAATTTACGAAAAAAACGTTTTGACTTTTCAACGCCAGCGAAAAAAATTCCAGACCAGCTCGGACCACACTGTGTGTTTTTCGCCGTCGTACTCATGTCACACTGAGAGAACTCCAGAAAGGCTGCACACTGTACGAAGCAAGATTTCAGCGAGGCAGACTGCACGACGGCTTGCTCCAACAGGACATGCAACGTCATGAGCACGCCCCCCCCCAAAAGCACACGTCACTAAAACCAGACAGCTGGCCAAAACAAAGTGCCGCCGTTAACAGTTCTTTTTAGGGTCAGCTCAACTTCCTCAAAGAGGAACGATCGTTTTCAAAACCCTGGCTTTGGCCTCAAGACTCTGGCAGCGAGTCTCCTTTTCCCGTCTTCCAGCTAAACAGCTGAGCTGCCTGCTGGACATTCGTGCTTCTCATCCTCCCATGCTCCTTTAGGAAGTGGCTCACCGGGATGCAACACTAGCAACTGCAACATTCATGAAGAAGTTTTAGAAAAGTTTTAAACCTTTTGAGAGGGGTTTTCCTCGTCTCCTTAAAATGTACACACTTGCCACTATTTGTTTGCAACTTTGATGTAACAAAAAGTGTTCTAAATGAAAATGGATGTGGTTGTTTACAAGTTTTTTTTACAGCGAACAAGTAAACAGAGCTGATGTTGTCCTCAATCAGCAGGCTTCAGGAAAACCACGGCCTTTATCTCCAACCAGCATCCTTATTAGTCTCTTGATAATCTCTGTCTCGTGGTTTTAATTTCCCTCTGGGACTGGTTACAAACAAACTCTGTCCCCAAAGTTTCTCCTGAACTCTGTCTTGTTGATGTAGAGACAGATTTCACTGAGTCAACTCAGTGACCCAGGTGAACTTTGCATCGTTCTCCTCAGCCGTAACTGATGGCAGCTGGATCACTGCCCTTTACAGTACAAACAAATCAGAAGCATCAGTCCTGATTAGAAAGTTATAAACAGAAGGTAAGCATCACCTCACTGTTGACAGGCTAAAGCTTGATAACGTCTTAACTCTGTGTCAGATATTTTAAGCTCATGCTGCATTGAACGAGTAATCTGAGATGATTCACACAATGTCATATATCAATATGGACAGTGGACCAATTTTAAGCCACGACACGTCTGTTTATTAGCATTAAAAATGATTTTTAAAGCTGAAACCTAACCAAAGAGAAAGTGTATGAGAACAGGTTTAACCGTTGCAAAGACCGTCTCCAGAAAATACTTCTCTTGTTTCAGCTACAACAGTTACAATTATGTGTGCACACACACACACACACACACACACACACACACACACACACACTTAGGTCTGTGTGTTTTAGCGCTGGAGCTTCACACGCCGCTGCAATAAAAGCCAGCTGATCCTGCCAAAAGGATGCAGTGTGAGACAAAGCAAGAATTTGGTCTAGTTCATTAGGCCATTGGTCCCTCACACTCTCTATTGGACACTCCTATAGAGAAACCTTACATAAACAAGCGCGTGTACACACACAGGTGCTCACACGGTGCTCTCATAAGTATGGACTTGGGCACGTTCAACACTTGTCTCAAGGCTATGGTGGGCACTTAATGCATTGTGATTTATTATCGTGTGATTGTTCAGTTAAACAACGTTGATTGTATATTTCTTCAAGTTGAAGCAGTGATAGCTTGATCTTGTATTGTTGTTGTGTCCCATTTTTTTCTCTCTTACTGCAGGTCTAGAAGCAGACTCTTGTTCATTATTGTTTATTTTTGTGGAACACACAAAAAAGGAAACATTTTTATCGAAGATTTATCGACCCATTTCTTTTTCTATCGCACCACATGTCTGTCGATAGATATATTGAACTGTTGAATTATCGTCTAGCACTACACAGTTCTGATCATTTCTTTAGACTTTTGCAAGTTTGATCCCTCAGTTCTTTACATTTCACTATGCTTCGGAAATGCAAAAATCATCAGCACCCTTTCACATACAGTACTCTGTTGGGTTTGTTTACTAAATGTCTTTACTGGGAGGGCTTTTTGACTCACTGCCAGAAAAAGTCCCGTTTTGTGAGCACAGTGAAACTGAAACATTTTAATTGCTGGTTAGTTGTTTTCCTAAAGTTAAAGTTCATTTTCTATTGCTTCTCTGTGGCATCACTCTCCCCCAAGCCCCCACAATGCGGGTCAAAAATTGAGTCAAACCCGGAAGTACCAAAAATTGCAGTTCCACCCTCATCCACTAGGGGCTGGTGTCAGAAGCGAGCAAATCCTCATTGACTCCCGTGTTAAAAATACCAATTTCACAGCAGAAATAAACATGTTTACAGCCTGGTACCAAAACATGTTTTTGGTTTAAATTACCTAGTTTACACTTATGACAACTCTAAGGGGGGTGATTTTCTTCCTCACTCTTCTGTTTAAGTGTATTAAAAGCCTAAAATTCTGTATAATTAATGAGCATCAGACCCACGTGGCCGCCGCCTCAGACCCACGTGACCACAGAGCTAGCTCCGGGGAAAGGCCTCAGTAGGGCCTCGGTCTGGCCTGGAAACTGCTCCGAGATTTTGAGTCTCTGTGTTTGTGTATTCTTGTTTGGATATTATTTGTGCAATTGTTGGACAAAATGACTTGCTGTGGCATTAATTGCACTAATAGAGCGTCCAAGGAGTCTCCACTTCATTTTTTTCGGTAAGTAAAATTATATTTATGTATTTTAGGTCACTGCAGAGCTGAGCTTAGATTTTAACATGTACTGTTTAACCATGACATTTAAATGTAATAGGGTAAAACCCCAGTGCATTTAACATAACTGGGACCAGGAAACGGGACCACATCAGTCCGGTTCTGGCCTCCCTGCACTGGCTTCCGGTTTGCTATCGTTCACACTTCAGACTCCTCATCTTTGTTTTTAATTTCTTCCAGGGTGGTGCTCCCCCCATCTAGCCACGCTCCTGAACAGACATTCCCCATCACGCGCTCTGTGCTCCTCTGACCGAGGCCTGCTCGTTGTCCCTCGTTCTAGGTGTCGTACTCGTGGGGACCGGGCTTTCTCAGTCCTAGCACCGTCACTCTGGAACCAGTTGCCACCCTCAGTTAGGCTGTCCCCATCTCTGCCAGTCTTCAAGAGTCGCCTAAAAACCCACCTCCTCCGCTTGGCGTTTCCTGAATATGTTTGAATTTGGCCCTCTTTTATGTTGATTTTATCTCAGTTTTCATTTGTTCACTTTTTCCCTTGTTTTACACATTTGTCTTCTACTAGAATGTTTCACATTTTTTGTAATTTGTAATCTGTAATTTGAATTGCTTTTATTTTCTGATTTATTCACTTTCTTTAACTTTGTACTGTACCATGTTCAGCGCCTTGGGCTTCCTGACAGGGTTGCGGAAGGCGCTTTATAAATAAAGCTTTGATTTGATTTGATAATGCTGCACTTTAGAAAATGGGTTGAAATATAACATGTTGGTGGAGCTGGGTTCCGACTATCGGCTTGTGGAGCTCTCGGGAGACCGATGTTTTCCACCCGTTCTCGCCTCCCCGCAGCTCGGCGCATCTCTGTCTGATCGCGGCTTCTGTCTGCTGCGCGGGCTGCCGGCTTGTGGAGGTCTCGGAGACCTCTGTGTTCCACCCAGTTTTACCCAGCGGTCAGCCCGGCGTATCTCTGACTCAGAAGCTCTGGTGTTGTGCACAGTTAACTCCGGTTGTAGCTAGGTTGCTACCTCCGTTAGCTTAGCTCCCACCTCCGCGTTAGCTTTGGGTTAGCTTCAGGTTAGCTTGTAGCTAGTTCGACCGGGTGTCGTCAGTTGATCCCAGCCTTACAGCCCCACCCTCAGCTCCACCTCTCTTCCCTTTTGTGGAATTGTCTGGGCTTGACGGAACCTGTGACACGGTCAAAATGGCGGTGGTGGCCACCTCCCACTTGGCCTCAAAAACGTGTTATTGGAGCCTATGGAAATGAATTGTCCAGTATTTATATGTCGATGCTCTCCCTAGGGCTGCAACTAACGATTATTTTCATAATCGATTAATCTGTCGATTATTTTTTCGATTAATCGGTTTGTTATTGTTTAGCTATTTAACCTATACAAGTGATGAATACATTTCAGTTAAGAAAAAGAAAAACATAAGAGAATTGTGCAGTTGACTGCAATCTATTTTATTGCACATGACCACAGTCAGCAGTGTAAAATGAGCTAAACAGTGCAAAATATCAGTCCAGAATAATTTTTTGGCATCAAAATATAAGAGGTAAATTCCATAAAAAATAATGTAGAATCTGGAATAGAGTTTGTAAGTGGTATGCATTGCTGGGGGTGAGTGTCTTGTTCCCCATGTAGTTGTCCATCGTTGCTTGTTTTTTTCTGCATAAGAAACACAAATAAACTGAATTAAGTACACATATAAAATAAAGCAGCACACACACTACAACACTAAATCAATATTACATTATTTGAATTAATTAACAATACAGTGATCATTTATTTTGACAAAAATGTGTTGTGAGGCGTTTTACAGCGTTAGATAGTAAAACAGCCTTTTAATAGTTAAAAAAAGGACTTTCTGAATTTCTCCTGTATTTAAAAATTGAAAGCGTACAACTATGCCGCGTTATATTCACCTGGACACAGCTCGTCTGTATATTTTTCTCCGCGGAGTTGTCCTTTTTTGAATGAGGAACATAGTTATGGGTTTGTGCCGTTTTTCTCTTAACGAGAACATTCTTATAAACAGACGTGCTAAATTTGGCAAGCGCATGATTCACAACACGGAGGAGATTCACGATTGCATCTAGTCAATCAGAAGTAGAACACCGTAAACTGACGCGGCAAAAAAAAAAAAAACATGTTTAACATCCACTATAACGAACTCAGCTAACACTAAGTCCCAAATGTGATCTGCGTTAGCTTGTTTATTTTCTGTTACTTACCGGACATTCCTCTGCTGCATCAGCCCCCACGTTTTTGTCTCAAATGTTCACTTAGGGACGTCGTGCTTCCGTCGTGCCATGGTTTTTGCATATTTTGTAGGTCACCGGTCTTTTCAAGGCATCTAGTGAAGTGCTCCCATACTCGTGAGGTTTTTGTCCGGGGTTTCTCTTGTTTTGACGCTTCTATTTTTCTTCCGTATTTGTTGTTGATCCGCCATCTCTCACAGCAAGATGCGCGTCAGTAACGTGTTACGTCATGAAAACCGAGGGCACTTATTGGCTAATTTCTTCTTCTACGGCCCCACTGGTAGATCAGTGGCTCATTACTGCCACACACTGGCGGCAAATTTAACAGATTGTAACTGATGTCAGATTGTGGTAAAAAATAGAGTTTATGCGGTAAAATATGATTATTAAACAACTAATCGATGACTAAAAAAGTTGTTAACTATTTTAATAATCGATTATAATCGATTAGTTGTTTCAGCTCTAGCTCTCCCCTCAAGACTCACAGGAATTTGCTTTATTTTTCATCTCCTCTTCCCCTTCACCCCTCCACCAGGTCTTTGTTGCATTCCAGTGCAATCCCAACTGTTCATAAAAAGAGAAAGAGCACAGCTGATAAGAGGAATTTCTAAAAGCACAGGCAGTCTTATTGTTTATGTTTGGTGCAATTTTACAAACATGCTGATCACCAATGTGGAACATGAAGTCAATTTGAGTTCAAATCAATATTAGAATATGAGAGGGACAAAACAAGATGCAGAATCAGATTTACTGAAGGCAAATGAGATAAAAACCCGCCCTTGTTTAACCCCCGTAGCCTCCAACGCCCACACTGACAGCCATCCCCTCCTGCCTCCTTAGCCTCTTCACTGGAGGCCAAGTGTGTGACAAGTGGGGGGGGTCCTAACCCTTGAACTTTGACTCTGGATCCAGCTATGTGGTTGCTTTCAAGTTGATCCGCCAAACAGATACAGATAGTCAAGTCTGCATTTCAGAACAAGATCTATCTTGCAGCTCATTCCTCATATATGAAAGACAGGGCATGAATATAACCCTCATATTTTCCTCAAAGGAATCAAGACACACACACACACACACACAAACACACACACACACCCACAGTCTCTGCAGGGAAAAACACAAAGAGGCTCTGATGCAGAATAGACCATCAGCAGGCGGAATCTAATTTAGCTCTGATGTGTTTCTGAGAGAAGCTTTTGTCTCACACCAAACCGTCCGTCGCCAGGAAGACCCCACACAAAAATCACCAGCTGGGAAAAAAGACAATTAGGACTTGATAATAAATGATCCACAGGTTTATTTAGAAGAATGTACACATAAAATTACTACATCATTAGAGAAACTGACTGACTAAAGACGGATCAATACAAAGCCATTAGCAGCTGCTTGCAGAGCTGCACCGTGGCAGCAGCCGATCCTCTTTCCCTCAGTAAACAAGGTCAATGATGACTGATGTCCTTCACCCACCTACAAACAGGCTGCCCCATGTTTGTACAGCATCAAGGACTTCCTCATGTAAACACACAGGGAGAAGGCCAAACAGTAAGAGCTGATCTTCACTCAGAAGGCATCTGCACGTCCACCTGCACCATGGTTATGAGCCGTATAACCTGAACGTGGTGATAGGGCCTTTGCTGTGGCAGGTCCTAAGCTTTGGAACGAGCTTCCTCTCAGCATGAGGGCCTCCACCTCTGATGCGGTTTTTAAGGCAGTGCTAAAAACCTACTTTTATGATCTGTCTTTTAAACTTTCTAACTAGTTTTTATTGTTTTACTTAAAGCGATCTGTGTACTCGCTGTATTTTTATCTGTGTCTTGTGACACAATGTTTTTATTTTCTGGATTTAATGTTTTATGTTTTTTACTTGATCAGTGTAGCGCCTTGGTGGCATCTTTTTGCCTGTAAGGCACGATTTACAAATAAAGTTGAGTTGAGTTGAGAGCTGTATGTGGAGCTTTAAACCTGATGCTAAACTACTGGGGTGCTTGATTTCTGAACACCCGTTTGCTTGTGTGTGTTTTCTGTGTGTGTAAACACACACACTATCTCCAGGTTAATGATTGTGGAGGTCTGAGCTGCGATGCAGCTGTTATGTCCGAACCGGAGGAATGCTGCCGAGATGATGATGCTGACAAGGTGGGAGAGTGAAGCTGGGAAGGTGTGAGACGTGTTAATGCACTGAGGCACGGCACATACTGCTAACACTAGCATACAAAGTCTGAGATGGTACGGCTCCCATCTACCTGAATCCGCTTGCAAAGGCTCACGTCTCGGCCCGGCCGCTCCGGTCATCACAGGATTGTCGGCTAGCAGTGCCTACACCACGCCCAGGACAATCAAGACTCTTCTCATGCATCGTTCCACAAACGTGGAATGACCTTCAAAGCACTACCAGAACAGCGGCTTCCTTTTCAATTTTCAAGAAACTCCTGAAGACCCTGCTCTTCAGAGAGCATCTTCTAAACTAGCACCCTCCCTGCACCTGTCCCCCCCCCCCGCTACTGTCCACTCCTTGTTCCCTCCTCTCCATGATTCATGTCAAGTTGTTGTTGTTATTGTTGTTGTTAGCCTCAAGAGCAACATGCCCATTATCACTTGTAAGCCGCTTTGGACAAAAGCGTCTGCTAAATACATAAACATAAACATAGTGAAACACACACACTTTACTTTCATCTGTAAAGCAGCTGGTGTGTCTACATACCAGTCATGTTTTAGATGATGCATGAGTTGATTGAACTTTTTTTTACTGTCGTGAACAGTTTGTTTCACAGACAGAAAAGGTGGAAGGGAAGGATTGTTCCAGACATCATTTGAGGTGTGAATGTACACTCACTAGGGCTGCACAATATATCGTAAATATATCGTTATCGCGATATCAGCATGCACAATATGCATATCGCAAAGAACAGATAAATATCACAATGAATGGTCAGCTCAAATGTTTGCTACACATTCTGCATTCTGTCAATCAAACAGAAGCATGATGTTTTTTAACTAATCAAATAGAGCTCTTCACCCATTTAGCCAATCAGGTGGGTTCTCATAGGTCAGATGCCCACCCCCGAGGTGGAGGGCACTTCATTTTGATGGTTAGCAAACACCTGAGTTAGCTTTGTTCTGCTCTTTATGCTGATTCTGCTTTTCCCGGGATCCACTGATTGCCTTTTCTTGTTTTCTTTTTCCCTTTTGTCACATCGTTTGCTTTTCTCACTTTTATGATTTTTTTATTTTTGTTTTTGATCATTTTTGTTCCTGAGTGAAGTTTTTATTTATCGCAAGCAGTGTTGGGAGTAACGCCGTTTAAGTATAACGGCGTTTCTAACGGCGTTCTTTAATAGGTAACGGAATAATCTAATTAATTACTTTTCCCGCCGTTGCAACGCCGTTACCGTTACTGGGGACGGAACCCCGTACGTTACTATGTGCTTGTCGAACGTTGAGCAGCAGTGTGAGGCTTTCCGACCGCCACACTTCAGCTGCAGCCAGGGAGAGAGAGGTGTCGGTAACGCACTTACAAACACGATGATGATTGGCCAGGTGGGCGGAGACCCTCACGGTCTCAGTCACTGCATTCTGTAGACACAACGGGAATAACTCCGTTTAAAATAACCGCGTTAATAAAAAATTTGTCTTTCTGTAACAAGCAAACTAATTAATTACGTCTTCTTTTATCAAAACGTTGTTCCTGTTACTGGTAAGGAAATGCGTGCGTTAAGCAGTGGGGTGTGTTGAAGTTGTCGTCAGCTGATCAGGAGCTAAAGAGGCAGATGTTTAAGAGCATCATGGCCCGTGAAGAACGAGGAAGACATGATGAATAGTCTACGGCTGCAGACCCGCAGATTTGTTGCTGCAGCAGCGAATCTGCGGGTCTGCAGCCGTGCCCTTAGCGTGACAGCGGGACGTCCCGAAGGTCCGCTCACCTGTTCACCGCTCAGACGTCCTGATCTCCTGCCTTCCTAGATTATCCAGCTGTAACCGGTTTCTGATCATGTCTTTAGTCACGCTGTAACACTGATGCATCAGTCTCAGACGGCATGGAGCTCATGTGTTATTAGAACTACCTGTGTGTGTTTACCACCCAGCTTCAGCTCTTCTGTGGTTGGGTCTGACCCACGTTAGTACATTTAAGTCCTCCATCAGGCTTGTGCCTCTTCTAGTGTCATTTTAAAGGATATTTATTTATTTATTTAACCGTTACTAGATTACCAGCAACAGAAATGCTATTAAAAACACACAATTATGTGAAGCTGGAAAAATTAGAATGCTGTGCAAAATTACATTTATTTCTGTAATTTAACTAGACTGAGAGACCATTTAAAGGCTCGGGAACCTTTACAGGTGTTTCCATTTGCAATTTTAAATTTTAGCTGATTGGGTTTTTGTTAAATATCACACAGTGACCTTTTAATAGTCTAGATTAGTGTAATGTTCCTATTAGTAGTTCCTCCTGTTAAGTGCTTATTTGTTTAAATTATTCAGGTTTATATAAAACATTTGGACACACATTTTACTATGTTCAGTCATTAGTCATTTATATTTTACTATTGTAGTAATTCTTGCATGCTTTAATGAAAAAAGTAACTAAGTAGTTACTTTTGTTGGTAATTAGTTACTTTTATGATCTTGTAACTCAGTTAGTAACTGAGTTACTTTTTTGACAAAGTAATCAGTAACTATAACTAATTACTTTTTTAAAGTAACGTTCCCAACACTGATCGCAAGTAATATCATCATCGCAATATTAAGGATTGTTATCGAATATCGCGGTTTTCCTAACATCGTGCAGCCCTAACACTCACTGTCCACTTCATTGAGTAAATTTGTCCAACTGCTCGTTAACACAAATGACTAATTATCCAATCACATGGTAAGAAAGAAAGAAAGAAAGAAAGAAAGAAAGAAAGAAAGAAAGAAAGAAAGAAAGAAAACTATCTTTTATATAGCACCTCTCAAGATAAAAAAATCACGAGGTGCTTCACAAAGAAAATAAATAAATTAAATAAAAAAAAAACAATTAAATTTATGTTTAAAATGAGAAAAAAATTGTGATTAAAAATAATAATAAAGTAAAGTAAGGGAGAGAGAAAATGAAAAGAGGGAAATCAGTGGATCGCGGGGAAAGGCGGAATAAGTAGAAATGGTAGCAACTCAGTGCACGTAGGCATGTTGACACGGTCCAGACGACCTACTGCAGTTCAAACCGAGCTTCAGAACAGGGAAGAAATGTGGTTTAAGGGACTTTGAACGTGGCATGGTTGTTGGTGCCAGACGGGCTGGTCTGAGCATTTCAGAAACTGCTGATCTTCTGGGATTTTCACGAACAACCATCTCTATGGTTTACAGAGAATGGTCAGAAAAAGGGAAAACATCCAGTGAGGAGCAGTTCTGTGGGTGAAAATGCCTTGTTGATGCCAGAGGTCAGAGGTGAATGGCCTGACTGGTTTGAGCTGATAGAAAGGCAACGGTAACT